GTATCTGCTTTATCTTGTCTCTTGTTGGACTAAATCTTGCGTGTTGGGGTACACTACCGTGACATTACTATAGGGCCATGGGCCCCGCAGGTTTAGGTCAGCAGATGGCTTCTCATGAGGCTAGATTTGTAGAGCAGGATCATCGTATGGATCACCCTCTTATTCAGAACGGCTCCGGTACCTGTACCAGCTCCTCCTGCACCCCTTGTACCAGACACATCTACCATGCCTAATGCTTCTGCACATCTAACCCCTCCACCTAGGTATGCAGGGGATTGCTTAATCAAGTGGAATTCCACTTTTAAATGTATCCACGTTCATTTCCCACAGATAGGTCTAAGGTTGGTTTCCTTATGCACCAACTTACAGATAAAGCACTTGAGTGGGCAAATTCTATTTGGGAGGCTAATGGACCTATGGTGCATGATTTCAATAGCTTCCTTACGGCTTTTCGTAGAACCTTTGACACAACTAAAAGGTTGAAGAATGCCGCCATGGCGTTAATGAGAATTAAACAGGGATCTAAGTCTGTTGCCGATTATGTTATTCAGTTCTGTACCGTTGCTTCACAGGTAGATTGGACCAACAATGGGCTGACTACTGCGTTCATGGAAAGTCTATCTGAAACTATATTGGATGAGGTAGCTGCCAGGGATCTTCCTATACCCTTAGAAGATCTCATCGACTATCTCTTCAATATAGACAATAGGATTCGTGACAGGCTATATACCAAGACTAGGAATAGATGCCTTGCTACACTTAATACTCCTAGAGTTGCTAATCCCGAGGGTTCCAAAGTATCAGAGGAGGAGTATTATGGGGTTGCTAAACTCTCTGATGCTGAAAAATTGTATAGGAAAAAGGAGGGACTTTGCCTGTACTGTGGTAGGAAGGGCCATATGCGACAGGAATGTCCTGTGCGTCCGGAAAACTATCGCACCTAAGACCGTATAGGGGACTGGCCTTAGGTGTGACATCTGAGTCCCCACATTTGCCTCTTAACAGATTGCTTCTCCCTGTCTCCCTGCATCTTGAAAAAAATAGCATAGCAGGGAACATACTAGCCCTGGTTGACTCCGGTGCGGCCGAGATCTTCATAGATTCTGGCTTTGTTAAAAAACACAACATACCCATTAGAGAGAAGAAGACACCCTTGGCCGTTGAGGCCATAGATGGTAGACCATTATGCTCCCAAGTTATCACACATGAAACTGAACCGTTGCATATGTCTTCAGGGTTGTTACACTCAGAAACCATTCGGTTTCAGATCATCACTTCTCCTTCATCTCACATCGTGTTAGGGTACCCATGGTTGCGTTCTCATAATCCCACTTTTAACTGGGAGTCAGGACAAATAGTATCTTGGAGTGATGCTTGCCAAGAG